CCTTTTCGCGGGCTCGAACCCGCGACCTCTGTACTACCTGCCTGATATGGACGCGTCACTATCTACTGTACGATTAGATTAGATGGGGCGGCAGCGCACGGCACAGCTCGGGCCCCGCTGACACAGCCGCTCTGACTCACCGGCCCCCGGGGCCGCGTCGGCATGCTGCGCACAGACCAGCTGCGCACGGACCAACGTGCACAGCCTGCCCTAATCCCCCCATGTATATAAGCCGGCCTCTGCTGCCCTAGGGACCTCAGTTTCGACCTCTTGTCCCTAGGTCAGTAAGCCCCAGTTGTATCCTTTACTTACCTTCACTAACTAATACATTTCTTGTCCCTAGCCTTAGGTTTGAGCCTCGCTCACCATCGCTTCGGTAAGAACCAGTCGGACGCCCCTCGCTTCCAGATATTCCCCTGTCGCTCGACCTCAAGTCGCGACAGCCGCAGATGAGAAGAAAGTCAAGACAAGTGCGAATTGATTTGACGATACCGGTGTGATGGCCCTAATCTGCCGTCACGACATACCCATTTTCCTAGCTAACGTAGATACTCCAGGCAAGCAACAGAAATATGCGATCGCGCTCCTCGAGCATCTCTTTACATTCCTCCCCCCCAATGCGACTGTTGCGGCACTGTATGACATTGGCTGTGTCGTCAATCGCAGCCTCGAACTGGTGAGCGCCCCTAACCCTCATGTTCATAAGAACACACTGACACTGCCCGTAGTACAACATCCTACCTGTTGATATCCACCAACGACTCATATTCGCCATCTCCGCAATGCACGCGTACAGCCATCAATGGGCCTGTCAGATCGTCTACAACCCCCGTTTACACGAAGGCCTCGGGCTCACCGATGGTGAGGGCGTCGAGAGGCTCTGGTCGAGGCTCCGTAAGCTCATTCCCATCACACGCTCGTCTGCGGTAAGCACATGTATGTTTCCGCCGCATCATGCCTCTCATGACCGCTCACAGCAATCACGGCGTATCTGGCTGATCGACCGTCAGGCCAAGGTTATCAGCCTTGATCTGCGTGACGATCTGGGCCACTGGATCGCCCAACGCCTACGCCATGGAGTGGAATCAAGGGAGGCGTCGTCTCTTGAAGAGCTGGTGCGAGTAGGTATTCCCAAGGAGGAGCTATGAGACGAATGGAAGCAGCAATGCGTAGCGCAGACATCTATCAGAGCGCGTAAGGCATCTGCTATGATCATGATACCAATGCTGACCCTCCCACAGATGCTCCAGCGCATCTCAAGAAGGAGCTGGACATTGTGTTGAGCCTGCAGGCTGACCTTGACACTGTCAACAAGGCTATCGAAACAACACGGACAGTCCTTGAAAATGGTGAAGCGTCTGCCGAGTCCCATGAAGTCGTCGCGAGCCTCGAATGATCACATACATGCCTGGTTGATAAGGTAGAGGCCCTATACTCATCGCTTAACATCACGGACAGCTTCCCAGACTTCGGAAACGTCAGCCTCGAGTTCGTGAGGCTGCTACTAATGGCATGCGACCTGAAGATCAACATTCGCAAGCGCGCAGTGGGGAGCTTCTTTGAATGGGATCAGCTGGACCAAGCGGTCGGTGGACAGCACAACCCTCTAGGTGAGTGCGAGACATCGGGGCACAGCGCTCACTATTAAAATGTCACATAGGCACCAAGATCCATCAGCAGACCCGCAAAGCAATTGCAAAGCGTACGCCCGCCCTCAAGACAGTGATCCGCAAGTTCAATCGCTATTGCAAGAGCCTCAAAGAACTCAAACAGCCGGAGTGGACCATCACCCTACCCCTTCCACTTCCCACTGACCTTGACGCCCTCCGCGACGATGCCAGCCTCCTTGCCGATGTCTGGATTGACCCCTCACAAGCTCAAGCCCCCCGATGGCTCGAAGACGTCGACATCCGCAAGGGTATTTGCGCACTCCTACTTGGAGATTGTTGTCTAGAGGAGCAGCGCTGTCACGAGTTGACACGGCGTCTAGCCGTTTTTTAATTTTTTCCTTTTCGCGGGCTCGAACCCGCGACCTCTGTACTACCTGCCTGATATGGACGCGTCACTATCTACTGTACGATTAGATTAGATGGGGCGGCAGCGCACGGCACAGCTCGGGCCCCGCTGACACAGCCGCTCTGACTCACCGGCCCCCGGGGCCGCGTCGGCATGCTGCGCACAGACCAGCTGCGCACGGACCAACGTGCACAGCCTGCCCTAATCTCCCCATGTATATAAGCCGGCCTCTGCTGCCCTAGGGACCTCAGTTTCGACCTCTTGTCCCTAGGTCAGTAAGCTCTCTTGTACTTACTTACCTTTCCTTACTAACTAATATATTCTTGTCCCTAGCCTTAGGTTTGAGCCTAGCTCACCATCGCTTCGGTAAGATAAGTCGAACGCCCCCAGCATTTGGTTTTCCCCTGTCGCTCGACCCTAAGTCGCGACAACATCGAGCACACCTACGACAGCGGCTAACCAAGCTACCGCTTCGACATTGAGCACTTCGA